GCCTGTCAAGGTGAACAAATTTGGGCACAATTCTTCTGCAGTTTTACTAGAACTCGTGTTGCTCTTTTTATTAATATTAGCATCTGACTCTTACCTTAATTTTCAATTTAAGAAAAAGACAAGTTTACTAGTCACATGCCACACTTAGGAAAATGATGTGTTTCTGTTCTGTGTGTGGTACCTTATTTGATAAACAGACGTTGGATTTCATCCATCAGTCACTCAGGCTCTTCCAGAAGATTTCTGCTACGAGCAGTATGAGTTTCCCGTTCACTTCCCCATTCCCCAAATGCTCCTGGAACGTTCTCCTCCTGTGGGTGCTGTGGGCTCAGCAAATGCATTGGGTCTCTGGGGGCAACTCCCTCAGTGTGGTTAGAGTGCTTCCCAAAAAAGTATTCTGCTACGGCTGAGTTTTGAGCATCAGAACATCGGTATAATCTGGCTCTGCTGGGCGGCCAAAGCAGAAACACTGGGGTTTTCTCTCTGGAGCAGCGTCCCTCACGTGCGTGTGGTGGTGGGCGGGGCACTGTGCAGGACAAACGGCTCTCGGACAGTTCCTGTCAGGCAGGGACGGAGAAAGCTGGACTGGGGCTGGGCGTTGTGCTTGTGGGCGCTGGAGTGGGGCTCCGGTTTACTTAACATGCATTGCTTTTGCAGGAAAAGAACTTATTTTTATCCCTCTTTTTTAGGCTGGTTTTAACCTACGCAAAATCAACAAACACATAAGATTTCCAGAAATCTTAGATTTGGCTCCTTTTTGTACTGCTAAATGTAAGGTAGGTAAATGTGGTCTTTTTCAGAAAATCCTTTGACTGGAAATCATGTCTTACCAAATACTGCAACAGCAACTTGCGAAAGTGTGAGGTTGGTGAGAATTCACTAGGTAGTGGGTCTTTGACTGTTCCTTCTGTTTTGACTGTTAGGTTTATTTCACTTCATTTCTTTGAATCCTCGTTATTGTGGCAGACGTTGTCTCGGGAGCTAAGCTGATACAGTAATGGGTAATGTCCGTTTAACGTGGCCAATTGTCAGTCTGTGTGCACAGGGCACGAGTGGTTCTGGGCAGGCTCAGAGGTGTGTGCGCCTTGGCCGGTGCAGAGCAGAGCCGTGGGAAGTGCTGCGAGGGCTGCAGGGAGTTCCCAGTACAAGGCTGGCGGGGTGTAAAGAACAAAGCCTGAGAACTGGGCTAGACATGAGGTTTCGGGGGAACCAGGCTTTCTGAGGTGTTCACTGGGGAGCCACAAAAACAGGTCTTGCGGATCTGTCCTCAGTGAGGAGCCACAGAAGCATGTCACGGCAGGGCTGTGTGTTGTGTGGACTAGAGGCGGGAGAACTAGTTGGGAGGCTGTTGAGAGTTCAGTCTGTGGATGAACCCAGACAGTGGTAGGTTGGTCTGGAAGACAAGGTGGAGCCTTTCATGGATGCTGAGGGTGACCCGGGAAGAGGGGTCGAGCGTGATCCCTGGGCCTGGTTAGGGGACTGGACATGTAGGCTGAGGGGGTGTCTTAAATTGAGGAGGGAACTCAGGAAGAAAGGTCGGTGGAGAGAGGATAAAGTGTTCAGTTTGGGGTACATCAACTTTCAGACGTTCTTTAGCCATTCATGTGGTAGTGTTTGGAAAGTGTTGGGGCAGACATGTCTGAGGCCCAGGGCAAAGGCTGGGGCTGCAGGTGGGCATTTTGACATCAGCGCACAGGTCGTGGTTAAAGCAGGAAAGGCTGGTGTCTCAGCGGTCCCCAGGTTGAGGACCTGGGGACTCAGAATATGTCAGCATAAGTATGTTTAGTCTTACTGTACTTATGAAACTTGAAATGACAGAAATCCTCCTTTGTCCCCAATCTAAAGTTTTCTGACATGTATTCAGAGCTGGTGGGTGAATTGTAATCAGCATGTCATAGGCTACTACCAGTTTTGCTGGTGAGCAACTTTTGGTGGCATTAGTTTTGAGTACAAGGTCACAAAGAACCCATCTTTTGCCTGAAGTGCCAACGCCCTGTGTTCAGGCTGCAAAGAAAGGGCCAAGAGCCCTCGGTGCCAGAATATCAGAAAAAAAGATCAGAAAATAGTTAGGACTAGATGGGATGGAAGTCCTGGCAAATTTTTCAGAAAGTGCTGGTTACTTCTGTGGGTGGAGACAGGAATGACATACTGGGGATAACATAGGTTAAAGCAGCTGTCCCTTACCTTTTCGGTGCCAGCGACCAGTTTCTGGAAGAGTCTTTTCCAGGCTGGGGAGGTGGACAGACAGCAGAGCTCAGGCAGTAATGGGAGGGAAGCTTTGCTTGCTCCCCTGCCTGCCGCTCCCCTCCTGTTGTGCGGCTGTTCTAACCTGGCCCAGGGGCTGGGGACTCCCGTTAGTGGTCTAAGTCTGAGAGACGTTACGTAGGTTGAGAGTCAAGACGAAATCTAGAGGGTGAAGACACTTGATTGGGGAAGACCTGGGAGGAGGCCGATGACACCAAGTCAGAGTGTCACCTATGAACAGGGAGCTGGTCAGGCTGTGCCTTCACTGCCTGCAGTGGGAGGTGCAGTCAGTTGTCAAGAGCAGGGGGCTGCAGCGGGGGCAGACGGGCTCTGCGGTCGCCCCTGTGCTGCTGTTGCACTGATTCTGAATGTTGAGGTCACGGGCCTTACCCAGGAAGGAGGCTGAGAGGCCAGGAGGAAATGGGACAGGAGGTCCTGCTGGGTGGAAGGCGCGCCGAAGGCTGGAAGGACGGGGGAGTTGTGCACGGAGCCTGAACATGCAGGAGGAATTTGGAACAGTTCCAAGTGATGAGGCTGAAACGGACGGCAGTGACAGTGCTGAGGGTCACTGATGGACACTGGGGGTCCCCGAGGAGGGCAACTGGATTTGGGGTGAAGCGGCATCTAGTTCAATGGGGCAGCGACTGGAGCAGAGTGAGGCACAGCAGCAGCGAGGGGCAGGGGGCCTGTCCACGCCCACGCAGTCTTGTGGCGGGTGGGCTGCTTTTACTCCGCATGGGCTGAGGCTGGCCAGGCCGAGCACCCCCACAGAAACCCAGGGTGGGTTCTGACATGTAATCCGAGTGCTGGCCCTCTGCTGTAGAAAATTTAACTTCCATTCTGAGCAGAAACCAGGGTGCCAGAATGGTTGAGGTCTTTTGAAATTACCTGAGCCCGACACTCAAGACATTCAGGGAGGTTATGGGACAGATTCCACCAGGTGGCCTCTGGAAAAAGGTGACAACCTCAGGGGAGTAAGGAGGGACAAGACTCAGCAGGCAGAGATGAGGTAGGCAGGTCAAGTCCAGATTAACGGGTTCTCAGTGTGGAGGTCAGACTGTAGGGTAAGTGTCTTGCCCTTGGTTCCTGTATAAATGGGACTACAACTGACGTTTGAACCCTGTTTGTTCCTAAAGAACGTTGCCGAGGAAAGTACCAGGGTGCTATACTCCCTGTACGGAGTCGTGGAGCACAGCGGCACCATGCGGTCCGGGCACTACACGGCCTACAGCAAGGTGCGAGCGGCACACACTCGCCTGTCTCACTTTGTTCTCCACGGGGACATCCCACAAGGTGAGGCCCGCAGAGTTCTGGCACTCAGCACACACGCAGCAAGCCGAACGACAATGAACTTGATTTTCTCTGTTCACACCTCATGTTCCATTTCCTTCACAGATTTTGAAATGGAATCAACCAAAGGGCAGTGGTTTCACATCAGTGACACCCATGTACGTGTCGTGTCTACAGACAAAGTGCTGAACTCACAGGCGTACCTTCTGTTTTACGAGAGAATCCTCTGAGTTTCAGCAAGTGCTTTCTCTGGAAACGCATTTAGGGCTTTTACAAGACCTGTAAGAATAATAAACAACTAAAGACTAAATCATGTTCACTTAAAATTAAGTCCGTGCCAGAAGCAATCATGTGTTGAAATACCGAAGGGAAAGTACCTGCAGATTGACCACAGTTGTCAGCGGCTTTTAATTCCTGCCTCCAGGTCCTGGAAGGATTCTGAATCCAGTCCTCTGGTTAACGTGTCTGGTGGTGGGTTACACGCATCAATAAACTGACTTACCCCCAAACCTTGTTTTATTACTTAGGCTGTTTTCAAGTCATATTGACTGACCCTACCAGGTACTGGACTGGCTGATGAAACTTTACCACTCACGTGTCAATGCTTCCACAAGCACAGGTGTTGGATGTTGGCAGTGATACGTCACTGGCAGAAAAGGTGCGCCTGCAGTTCTGAGGCTACCATGTGCACGGCTGGGCACAGGCTAACTGCAGTGTGCTCTCTGCGATGAGCTGGACCAAAGCCACACTCTTGGGACTAATGGGGCACCAGGTCCCTTTAATGCCACTGTGCCAGAGAGAATCTGCAAACTGCCCTCCCAGGAAACACCTTTCACCAGGCAGCCAGCACTTCTGAGTCAAGTGCAGCCAGCCTGAGAGCCGTAAGGACACCAGGCCTGTGGACTGTGAGTCTGAGGGTCTCTGATGACGAGCCGATGTCACCTTCACAACCTACTGAGCTCATCTTGAACCCAGTTCCCTGTAGTGCTTCCAAAATCCCTTGGGAATACCAATACAAAATTTCAAAGTGCTATCTAAAACATACAGTATTCTATGTCCATAAAATCCATGTCACTGATCTTAAGATCTGCTTTGTGAATCCTGATGTGCAAACACCAGGAGGTGCGGTTTCATGAAACAAGTTAGTTATTCAGACGCTTAGATTGCCCGAGTTGTGAGAAACACTGAAAGACGTAGCCCAAGAGTCAGCACACTTCCAGTTGAGGCCAGACAGGAAATGCTTTGTGGTGGGGGTGGGTCACCTGGTGTCTGTCACCACCTCTCAACCCTGCCTTCACCATGGAAAGCAGCGCTGCCACGTCCTCGTGAAATGCACAAGAGCAGGCGACAGGCCACACACAGTTGGAAATAGGTCCCTAATTACTACAGTGACGTGCCTGTGTGTCACGAACAAGGCTGAGTCAGGTCACTTAGACCCCAGGACAGTAATCACCAGACGACAAGGCTTTGATAACAACACATTTATTACCTAATGCAGCCGAGGAGACATTTCACCAACAGGAACCCAGCTGCCAACTCTCAGAGCAGCAGCGCCCCTGCGAGAGCGCCCACTCAGTCATTCTGGTCATCATCCCAGTCCTTCTTCCCACTGGGAGGCTTGGGTCCCCCCGCCGGTTTTGCCATGATGATCTGTAAAACAGAATGTCAAGAACCTACTTAGAAACACAATCTACAGGATGACGAAAAAGGACTTTCTCCTGTTAGCTGGATTCAGGATTAAGCATCACCTAGAAGTAAACCACATGATTTGCCAAGTGTAAGAAACACTAGCAGTAAGGTTGTCGTGCGCAGCAGTGTGAGTTGCCTGCTCGTCTTCTGGACACTGACAGCAGCAACCTCCGCACGTGCCTGTCAGTGAGGCAGGGAGCCGAGAGTGAGGAGAACTCGCGCACACTGCGGCACCAATCAACTTGGCACTGGTTCGCTACTGACACGAGAGGTGTGTCTTGCCAACCTCGCTTACCCCCACCTCCCCGAGGGCTAGGAACTTCAGGTCCACTGCCAGTTTTCCCATTAGCATTCAGAGTGGTTGATGCGCAAACACACACCAAGTTCAGCACAGAAAGCCACAAGTCTGTACCCCAGAACCACTCCAGTGTCAGAAGTGTGTGTCCATAAATACCAGCCACCAGAAGGCTCCGATGTGTCTATAAAACACTAACCCAGCATTTCTCAAGCACAACCACCTGGCATTTTGAAGGATTCATGTTTGGGAAAAAAAAAAGGGGCAGGGGAATGGCAGCAGCTTTTGGATCAGATAAACCTGGGAGAAAAGCCAAATTAAACTGAATTAGTTGGGCTTCCTCCAAGTAGAACTCTCAAGCTCATACATTTTGAAGCTCACAACTGGAAACAGTATTCTTGGGAACGTTTCTGTATCTTGGCTTCTATTTGAAGTGCACAAGCTGTAAAACCCTTCCCTGCCACCACGGCTGGCAGACTCCACACCCCTCTCATAAGCTTCCATAAGAAACCTAAACCTTCAATTCTTGGAATCCCATTTTATCAATGGAGAGTGAAGTACAGGCTGAATTAAAGGCATTCAGTATAAATTCAGAATCAAAGTGTAGCTTGATTTCTTAAAAAAGACCTAGAACAGCCCTCAGACTTCCTGGGCAGCGTAGCCACCTGCGCGGCTCATTTAGAGCACACCGCTGGGCCTCCCTCCAGAGCGTCTGATTCCGTGAGTCTGGGCTGGGCCCAGGAATTTGTATTTTAACAAGTTTTACGCAATGTTAATGCAGTTGACTTGTGGACCATAATTTGAGGACTAGTGAAATGAGTATCTGACTAAAATCAATCCAGCCCTTCTACATTATCCAATGCTTACAACGTGATTTGCAAGTCCCGTCCCAGATTACAAACTACACAAAATCAGGTCAAAGTTCGTTACAGTAACACCAGCTGGTTAACGTGAAAGTTATCAGGTTGTCAGACACCCGTCTTCCCAAGGGCAGACAACATCGAATAACCAAAGCCTCGGTGCCCCACCCACACCTGGGACCAGCAGGGCCTTGGACAGTGGAAGTTCATGGGGTCAGAAGGAACTTCCACTATTAGAATTTCTGCCAATTCATCTCTCCTTCCCCTTCTATTTTTGCTCCTAACTTTTAGAATAAGCATTTCTGCAGACTTCCATTATTTTATTTAAAAACTGGAAAATACCCAATACACCAACATAAAAACACCCTATTGATAAATTCAGCACACAAACACAAGCTCCGTTTCTAGTCACGCTGCAGTGGGACAAGTACTTCTTTTCAATGGGGTGGATCTTGTATCCCTGGCAACGCCACCACCTGGTCCTCAGTTTGTCTAATTCCACCTCACTTGCAAGTCCTGCCTGATTTTCACTTAATACGTTTATGCTGTGTTTTCCCAGAACTTAAAATTTTAATGTGCTTACAAATACTTCATTGCTTAACAATCATTTCTAGAATTTTGTAGAAAAATGAGTTTCATTCAGTTTACTAGTAACACCTCGAAAATTAAGAATTCTGGTTTGTCTCTTAACTCAGAACAAGTCTTTACCATGTTTCCTCCTTGCCATAATTTTAAAAAGAAGTAAAAGAGCAGAAATGCTGGTTTTTAATACCTTTCAATCTTTCAGCAGTGCCTCTGTACATGACCCATCACACCCAGGTCCCACGTCTCAGAAACAACACAGGCCGCACCTGTTTGTTGTAAGCCAGTGGCAGGAATTCCGCCCTCCCGGATTCCTCACCACTACCCACAAAGAGGTTCTTAGGCTAAAGAGAGTCTGAACACTGGGATCTTCAATCAGATTCCAGATTAAGAAAAACATGAAAGGCCCCGTAGCACCTGTCAGGTGAGGGGGAGGGACGCTACTCAGTGAAATGAGAACAGTGCTGTCTAGTCCGTGAACACACCACTGAGCCAAGTGAAAATGACATTTCTAAAGAGCACGACACCCCCTGCCACGCACCTGGTCCACCCTGAGGACAGTGACTGCAGCATTCGTAGCCAGTTTGATGGCCCAGTACTTCCCCAGGTAAGTGTCTAGGACCCCAGCCTCCAGCATGTCCTTCACAGCAGGAACTTCAGCCTGTCAACACAGCAATTTGCATTTTTCACTTCAAATTCTCTTACACTAAGGTGTTTACACTGGAAAAGCAACAGAGGAGGTAATATCCTATACACCCTACAAAACAAAAGGTTATTAAAACAACAGGAGAAACACTAAACCCCCATTTTCTTTCTACACTTCTATTTTTAGGTTTTGCATTCACAAAACATTTAAGTTCACAGTGGTTCCCCCTCCCCCCCAAATACCTCAATGTCTAATCCAACATTTTTATTTCCTTCCTGGTGTACTGCATAGAGTTTGGAGATGACTTCATTGGCCTTAACCCCCGAGTTTTCTGCCAGGGCCCGGGGGATAGCTTCCAACGCCTCTGCAAACTTCTTAATGGCGTACTGCTCAAGTCCAGGACACGTCTAAAGCAGAAACAAGTTCATTACTCTACCTGACCCAAGGGGTGAGAAGAGTCAATTTATCCGAGAAAGCTGTACCTCTCCATACGACGTGATCTGTTTGGCTAACTCGATTTCTGTGGCTCCACCTCCAGGCACGAGACGCTTGTCCTGTAATGAGCAGCGACAGAAGATCACTAAGAAGCAGTCTCCCGTTTCCTAACCTTGGATGCCAGCGCTCCAGCACAGTTTCTCGGCCAGATGCTAAGTACAGGTTGTGAACAAATGCAGGGAGCTGGCATCTGGCACACGGAAAGCGAAGAAGCAAGCGAACAGGAACTTACCTGCTTTTCTAGATGTAGCACTAATATAGTGCTTATTACTATCCCTTCAAGATAGATTAAAAAAATCTTAAGTAAAAAAGGCGTGTTGCTTTATTACATGAACTACCATTTTCAAGTTCTAGAATGTCCATGAGTCTGGCAGCTGGGCTGCTGAGGCCTTGCAGGCCACTACGTCCAGGTCACTGATACTGACCCTGGTGAGAACCTTGAAAGTGTTCACGCCGTCGTCCACCGCTCTCTCCACGTCGTCCATCAGATTGTCTGTAGAGCCCCGGAGCACGACGGTGGAAATGGCGCCGTCCTCCTTCTCTGTCAGTAAACACACCGGGGGATGAGTGCAGACAGCAAACACCCACGTGCGCACACACTCACGAGCACTACCCACCATGCTTGAAGACCACCACCTGCGTGTCTCCAACTTCGGAGAGGTACACACTGTCACAACGTCCCATTTCTTCAAGAACGGGAGGAGTCTGCAAGAAAGGCCCCGTTGTAGCAGAAACCACAGCCAGGCTCCGCTCCGTGAGCACTGTCCACCATGCTTACCAGCCTCGGCAGCGCCGTAGCCCCCACGGTTTTACACAACCTTCGGAGATCCCACTTTGAGTTCAGCCTTAAAAACAAAAACAAAAAAACACAAAAAAGCAGGAACAAAAAGCTTAATAGAAGCTTTAACTCTATCAGACAGAATAAAATGCAATGACTGAACAGGAAACTACGCAATGACCCCTAAGTCACAAGGTTTGACCTGAAGGTTCAGGCTCAGAAAAAGCCACACTATGCAGCCTGGACACAGGACTACACAGCGTCACTCCAGAACCAGAGCTCAAGTCCCCTGGAGATGCTGAGGGCCTGGAGCTATGAGGCGCAATGGGAGCCCTGGCACAAGGGCTCTCCTGCTGTCCTTTGGGCAGACACCTTATGCGAGGAAGAGAATGGTGACACGCCTGCACATCTCATCAGGGGTGACAAGCTGCCTGGGGGGCCTCCTGGACTGCAAGTGTGTCCCCAGCCCCACCCATGGGCTGGCCCTGAGCCTGCCTAGACAGCCTCTCCCCCCCACTCTCCAAGTGCCAGTGCCTGCTGATTGTTGGGCCTACAGCTCTGAGTTCAAGGTTTTCTTAGAGGTGTTTTCTGCCTGCCTCGACCAAGTAGGTCCTTTTGCTCTTTGATCTAATACCTTATCTCCTACCCCGCCCCCTGTAAGTCTTCATTTGGTGTCTCACCGCCAAAGGCCATTTCCAACACAGGCAAATAAGAGTGAAGCAAATAAGAGCAAATCTCACCTCACCAGCATGATATTGTACTTATTTGCGTAATGAAGAGCCATGTCTGCCACCTTGCCGCCCGTGACAATGACATTTGCGCCAGTGTCAGCGATGGCTTTCACTTGTGCATCCATTAGGTTTTCTTCTCCCTTACTGAAATTCATCAATTCTTCAGCAGTCTTTATCAGTACTGTTCCCTAGCAAGCAAGCAAGCAAGCATTCTCTTTAAAACCATGTTACTTTGGTGTTCAAAGTCACAGGACAGCATTTTACTGAAGAAACTAAGACCTGGGAGAAACTATGAAGACACACGTGAGTGTATTATGAGGCAGAATACAAAATCTTGACCAAAGTAACGGGAACTCGGTGCACTCCTAGACTCTCCCACTCCCAAAACCGACGCACCGTCCCTTTGAAGGGGCCTTGGTAGGGAAGCTGGAGAACACCTCGGCCTGAGAGGCGTCGGGCAGCTGCGCTGGCATTGGACTTCTGATGTCAAGTAGTCAAAAGTCAATGCTGGAGTCCAAACTTTTTCTAAAACACGGACTAAATAACCAATCCTCCCACCACAACCCTAACTTTTGAAACTATCAACAACTCAGATTTCAAGAATTCTAGAAATGAAGTCAGCAGCAATCTATAATCTTCAAACTTCATACAATGTGTATTTCTTTAAAGTCAAGCCCATCAATTTCAAATAATATGTATTTTTTTGTTTTAGGATCCTACAGAATCGCAACGTTTTTGTTTGCTTAATGAATAGCACACAAGTGCTGGAAAGCGCTTCATCGAACATTTCACTTGCTCAGTGAGCTGTCAAGGAGCAAGGGCTGCATGCCACAATACAAAGGACACTGCCCCCGTGTGAAAGTTCAAGTTTAACATTTTGGGTTGAACTGTTGAGTCAAAGAACATAAACCTGATTTTAAACACCAGACAGGACCCACAGTGTCTAACAATCACACAGAGTCTCCGACTGAGAGGAAAGCGCCCCTCAGATCTTCAGGGCCCTGTGACAGCCCGAGAGGCCAGCCTCCAACCGTCACCCCCGATGCTGTAGTCCCGAGGTCCACGTACCTTGGTCTCTGTTATCATGCCATCGAAAGGACAAGAGTATACTGCTATTTTCGCATCTTTGACAGATGTCACATCGCCTTCTGTTTCCTTCTTAAAAACCATGCCATGCAAGACTGAAGAGGAGCAGATGCCAGAGCCCTGAGGAACGACAGCAAAGCCACCTGTGAGTTCGCAAAGTTGACACCTGGGCTGAAGCGCTGGTTCTGCAATTTCCCCTAAACACCCTCTCTGACCACAGCAGCACACACACATCAGGCAGTGACTCCGCTGGGGAGGGAGTGGTACGTACAGACACACGGCTGCAGAGCGGGGAAGAACCCACTTTGGGAATGAGCCACTGGCGTGGGGGAGGGGAGAGGGCTTTCCATACAGAGGGAAGCACCAAAGAGGACGACCCCTCTGAGCCACCCACTCACCTGCCCGCGCGTGCGGGTGCTGATGGGCCCAGCACCACTGTCAGGGCTGGCCAGGCTCAGGGATGGGGCACAGTCTGAGACCTCACAAGCTTACCACTTAACAGGGCGAGCAGTGGATGGAGTGAGTCAGATGTGTACATGTGGACACACAGAACCAGCACACAGACGTGTACATGTGAACACACAGAACCAGCACATGGACGAATGCTGGCAGCACACAGCTACATCGACAGTCGCGTGCCGACGTGTGAAACCACTACAGGGTGTAGGTTTTACTCTGTCAAGTGGACGTTTTTATCAAAAATACACTCTCGCAAAGAATACTGTCTATGCTCTCTGTTCTCACCCCTCAGACTGTCAAGGAAAAATGATGACTTTACAAGAAGTCAATACTCTTTCAAATTTAACATTTGATAACAGCCTAGCAAAATCAGCATGTTATATAGATGATGCTTCGAAAGGCAGAAATCATAAGTGCTTAGAACCCAAGATCCAGTCTAGGTGTGATTAACAAAAACTTTATCCTCCCAAAATGAACGTCTTATCTAGAGAATGTTAAGGTGTTTTTTAAACTTACCAGAATCTTGCAAACTCGGATATTATCAACATTGAAGTGGCCGGAATCAGGAAAAATCGATACTGTTAAGAAAACAAGACACATCAAGAAATATAAGCGGGACAACAGAGGCAACGTCTCGGCCATGATCAGACTCTACTGCGGGTCTCCAAGTCGGTGCGTTCACTCACCACATGCCTGTGCAATGAGCTTGGCCAGAAAGACTTCGTTACCGTACTGCTTACTCATGACAGACGTGTGAAGCAGAGATGCAACTTCATCCACATCTCGGAGATTTTTTGCAGAACAACAAACTAAACTGGGAAGAATCTCATGGGCCTTCTTGCAGGCTATTTCATAGCCTTCAATGACCTTGAATGTGAAGTGCAAAAACATCTTTTAAAAAGACACAACTGTGACCATCCAGTGAATACAAGCACCCATCTTCAACGTGAAGCGACAAAGCACACGTCTCGGGTAATGTCCAAGGCAGATCCTACTGGTGCGGGCTGGGTGAAGGGCCAGATCTGAGCCCAAACCACCATTTACTAGCTGCAAGGTCTTGAGGGACACTTTTCTACCTTAGGTCTCATGTCCCTCACATAAAATAAAATGGGGTTAATGTTCACAGGCCTGACAGGCTTCCAGCAAGGACCAGACAGTGCATGTCTTGCAGACGCACCCAGTGCCAAGCGCAGGGGCAACGCCCCGCACTCACTACTGCTGTGAGGGCAACTCTTATTGAAGCAGGTGTGCGGGGCGCACACACACAGACAGAAGTGAAGTGGCAGGACATTCCACAGCGGACACCTGCCTCTGAGACCGACAGGCCAATTCTCAGGAGCTCCTCGGCCGCCTCCAGCAGAGCGCCCGCAAACACCAGCACGAAGTTTGTGCCATCTCCGACCTCCTGCTCTTGCATGTGCGAAGCCATCACGATCATTTTGGCAGCGGGGTGCTGTACCTGGTGGGGCGGGGGGTTGAGTTTAAACACCGAGCTCACAAGGCACTGCTCTCTAAAGCAGTATGAAGACAGCCACTCCCATTTCTTCTTGGTCCACAGGCTCCGACTCCCCAGTCACACGGAGGCACACGAAGGACCAAAGACGCTGTGGTCACACAGGACAACCAAGTCCCCCAGGGCCCACAAGCACAGGTGACCACAGCGAAGAGAAAGGACCTCAGAGTGCGTACGTGTAGCTGTCCAGCACAGACACCTCCACAGGTCAGGTTCAAACCATCACGATAGGTTCATAAATTAAAACCAAAGGGATTCCCACCACTAAATCTAGACATTAGCAATAGGAGCTTCAGGAGGGGCTGTAACAGCTAACACTTAAGTTGGTCACGAGTCTGTTTCTATGAACATTCTTACCGGAAGGCTATCGACTGTGGTTCAAAAAGGGAACCATGAAGTATTTCTTCCAAAAGAGTAGACCAAGATTTTAAGTGTTCCCTCCAAGGAGTCAGATGCTCTTTTCGGGACAAGCAGGGAGCAACTAACTACCACCGGCTAGGAAACGGAGGCTCAGTGGCCAGCTGAGCACAGGCTCAGGCTATTCCATAACCTTCCATGACCTCGAATGTGAAGTGCAAAAACATCTTTTAAAAAGACACAACTGTGACCATCCAGTGAATACATGCACATGTCTCCAACGTGAAATGACAAAGCACACGTCTCGGGTGACGTTCAAGGCAGAGCCTACTGGCCACTGAAGGTTATGAAACAGCCTGTGTCAGAGCGCAGCAGTGTGCCACTCACAGGGCACGTTCCAGTGTGTCCTTAACCCGGTCAGGGACACACCAACACAGCTGGAGCTCCATTTAGAAGACTGACCAGTGTCTGGGGTCACACAGCCCTCACAGACAAGTGGCGAGGCGAGGATGGTCCCTGTGTGTTCCGGTGCTGACACGCAGGCACGTCTCTGCCCCGGACTCTGGGCCAGTAGAGTCCGCTGCTCTACCGTCACGCAGTCAGACCAGTGGTTTGACGCTTCTTAGAGCCACTGTTCGGGGTATCAGCTGTCCCTGAGTCACTTCAGTGTCACATACCACAGAACCAGCAACTCATTCCATGTGGTATCATTATTAGCAAATATACGTTTATCACAATCGATCGTCTTGTAAGTTAGTAACTTAGGAGACTTTTTTGAGTGGCTAAAATGTCAAAACTAATTTTTGATGTCACCAAAACACAGCTTTTATTTAAAAGGAAGGACTTACTTCCAGCTCTCTCAGAATAGTCGCTGCATCATTTGTCACAAACAGCTTCTCCAGGTGGTTGATAACCATTTTGTTCATTCCTCAAAAACGATAGTCAGACATTATTACTCAAATCCTATTCCAAACACCCAGGAAAATCCAGTCAAAACACAAGAGCTTCCACGCATGTCTTCAGTGACTCTGGGAGAGCCCTTCACACACTACCCTCTCCCACGGCCCCCGACGGCACACCCAGCATGTCTCCCCGGTTTACTCAGGACGATGCCAACTCTGCCTCCTTTTTGATTGATAAATATAAATTATACTACCATATACAAAAGGATCTACTTAAAAGGACACTTGGTTTGTGCTTATTCCAGAAACTTGTATTAAGCTCTGTTTATGTGGGAGGCGAGAGAGAATTCCCCTTTAAATCACTTTTCAGGAAGCGTGGGCCATTTGTAACAGTGAATGTTAGCTACTGTCTCAGTGGTGAGAGGCCCATGATTTTTCTACCCTCTTGATAAAATAAACAAAAGTAATACTTTGATTCCTATGTTTCTGAAGATTATCTGAAGTTCTCATTAAAAACTGGAAACCCTGACTAGTGTTGGGAGCTGGGAAATAACTTGGAAAGCCACTCTATGTGCCATGCTGGCTAAAACCCAATGCGCACAGGGCCCTCCCAAAGGCTTCTGGGAGAGCAGCCCGCGCAGCTCCGAGCTGTGCCTCTGAGAGTGGGGATCCGGAAATTACCATTCGGTCCATATGCCGTGCGCGTGGTCTGGGCTAACTCCTTGCAGGCTTGGATATTCCTGTACACGGCCTCTTCCAATCCTGAGAAATGCTGTGAACAGACTTTCAGGTTAGATGGAACAGCAGAGCAGGGGTTTTCCTCTGGGAGCAACGGGGGCCAGGATGACAACAGCGACCTCAGTACAGACCCCAGAACTGTCCTGAGAACCAGGTGAGACTCCAGTGGGTAAAAGCACAGTGCCCCAGGTCCATAAATGACCCACATGTTCGCTCACCAGTGCAGCGAACAAAGCACAGCATTTTTAGGGAGCCCTGGCACCTGCTTACTCAAACCAGAGGGCCCGTCACACGTTTAGTGCAGTGAGAAGTGAAGGGAGGAACAGGAAGAGCCACCGAGGATGCACGAGTGCTGTTTCAAGGGAAAGCACCGCTCTGGCCACAAGCTAAACATGGGGAGCCTGGGCTTTGCAAGGCCAACGATGCATGTCACTTGGAGTCACTCACACGCGCTGCCCCCAATGCTCAGGAGCAGGTCCACTGCAGTGCACACGGCTGACAGTTCCCGAGTCTTGCACAGAACCGGACTATTTTATTCTGGACTCTAAATGTGGGACTTACTGTGGCCTCAAGTTTCTCGAGCAGTGTCCACACCAACATTTCTCTAGAGCCACTCCGCCCAGCCCAGCAGCCACTGTGGCTGCCTCAACTTCATGCAACTGCAATGCCAAGTGCAGCCACAGTCCATGTGCCCAGCAACTGAGTGTGCAGGGGACATTACAGTGGATTGGGTGGCTGTCATCACAGGGTGTCAGACAACACTGTCCCAGGTCCCAGGCAATACTGCTGACCTGTGACCAGAAGAGTAACAACCCCGACTTGATATCTCCTCTTCAGCCTCATCTCAGGCCTCCCTCCCCTCCCCAATGCACGACTGGCACCTCTGACCACCAGCCAGACCCCTTGAGACCCTTCAGGACACAATGTGGAGCATCCTTGGGGTCTATGCCCTCTGACCCCTCTGCCTGGACACCTTTACCTCTACCTCACCTTTACCTCGGTGAGCCCTCCCATCGCTGGGCACCAGCTGGGCTTCCTGCACTGTCATTCTCCACTGTCCCACTCTTGGTTTCCTTTATCACAGGAAACTATCCTCCTTGTAATCGGCTACTATTCCTGCCGCAGAATAAACACTATGAAGTTTTCAGCCTGGCGTCATTTTTAGCAAAGCTGCTTCATCGGCGTTTACATCAAACTCAGACAGTTACTCAGTTATTGTCGTGCAGCTCCCTGGCGCTGAACCTCAGATTCTAGGAAAGGTGGGGACGAAAATCCACACCACTGCTCAACAGCCAACGGACAAATTCCTCAGCAGGACACTGAGACATTTCAAAAAAACAATGCTCTTGAAAAGACATTCCAGGCCTAGCCATTAAGTTTTTATTCAGGTCAGGGTGTCAGGTAGCCTGCCGGTCCCAACTCAAAGGTACCACATTCCGCCCCCCCTCTCCGTGAGAGACAAGGAGAGGCCCGAGGGCCGCGTTCCGCAGGAGGCCTCTCACCGACGGGAACAGGACCCACGTGGGCAACCGCGGCGCCGTCTCAGCCGAGGGACTCAGCCCCGCCCGTCGGGTCTCCGGGCCCCGAGCGGGAGGCACCCGGCGGGGCCAGGCCGCATCGGCTGGCCCCCAAGACACGCGAATCCAGGGTCGCGGTAGTAGAGAACGGCACCTCCCCTTCTGGAACCTTCTCTACCTCCGACCGCGGAGTCGGGACGCACGCCAGTCCGTTGGCAAGCCCACGCCGCCGCTCCTGCACCACTCCCCCGGGCCGCATCACTCACCTTCGCTCCTTCCTTGAGCATCTGCGCGAAACCCGGGGCTTTGGGTACGTGGAGCGCCATGGCTGCACCGCGGAAGCCGTTCACGAGCCGTTCGCGGCACTCCAGAAGAGGCGTGGGTCGCACAGCTTCCTGGGAACGCAGCGTGCGCGGCCTCACGCTCCTCCTTTCTCCAGCTAGCCCCGCCCCTTCCCAGCCGCCGGCCTGAAGCCTCGCGAGATAGAACAGTTCTCTCAGTCAGAACCACGGAGGAGCGTCCGTCAGCTCGATGGGTGGGGCCGATCGCCGCGCGCGCCTTTGGCCTTTGGGCTGCGCACGCGCAGGGGGCCCAGGCCGTAGGGCTCGCTCCCGAAGGTCCTCGGGGTGGAAACTCGAGGTTTGGCGTGTCTCATAAGTGCCGTTTCTGAGCTGGAAGCTACGCCTGCCTCATGAGTAATTTGTGCGTGATGCTCCAGGCCCATGACAAGGCCAGGTACGCTTCTCTTTACTCGCAGGTGCCGAGCCTGTTGCGGGGGCGCTTGGGCTGGGCGCGGGAGGAGACGGGCCCGTGCGGGTCGCCACTCAGCGAGGGTCCCATTGAGTGAGGTGCCTCACCGGACGGGTTACAGTTTCGGCAGCCGACGGCGCACCCTCCTTCGGGCGGAAGCGGGGACCGCCGGTGGGGACGTGTCCGGCACCCCGGGCGCGTCGCGCGCTCGTTGCCGCCCGGCTTTCTCTGCCTTTTCCTGAAAATGAGCACCTGATGTCGGGGTCTGCCCCCGGCGCGGGCCGGTCTAGGCCGGGCGGGATGGCGACGGAGCGTTCTCTACACGGAGACAGCGCCACCTCGGGGCGCAGTCCGCGCTTCCCGCCGAAAACTCAGACACGCGGAGCGGGACGTTTGGGCTCCACTCCTGTTCTTTGACGGGCAGGTGTCAAGGACTGATTTTCTTTAAATTGGGGTTTACTGTCCCTGAAGGAATAACCACGTGTCGTGTCTGTTATCAGTTACAACATTTTCTCCTTTTTCTCCTTAAAAATACCTAATTAGTAAACTAAAAAGTGCCTTTTTGCCACCTCAAATCCAGTGGTCCGTGATCACCTGTTGGGAAGCCTCCGCGGAGTCAGCAGTTCTCAGGGCGGTGGGACCCCCAGCCGTGCGGACTGGGCCGAACTGTCTTCCCTGCAAAACTAAGACGTTTCCTTCCTGTTCTTCAGGCCGCGCGACGAGCGCGAACAACAGTTGGAACATGAGGGCGAGAAGCCACTTGTCTTCTAGTGAGATGGACAGAAAACGCATTGGCAGAAGCGTAAAACAGTGCCCCTCTTCCCACTTTTTGTTTGTTTTGAAAGGTAGTTACTTGTTAATAAAAATATGTTAACGTGATGGGCTTATTACTGTAGCTTTAAGTTAGTAAATATTTTTAAAAGTCAGTTTCAACTTAGAATATGAGAATACTATTAGCTGTGACCCACGTAAAAGCCCTCTGAGAGCCTCGGGAATGCTCAGGAGGAGCAAGGTCCTGCAACTGGAGCAGCGTCGAACCTGCAGCAGATAGGTCCCAGACAACGCAAGGTTTTTCCGTGATTGACTGATGTGCGAATAAAAACATCGGACTCCGAGGGGCTGTGGTGACAAAGCTAAAAGTGAAAGGTGTTAAAATGACACTTCACAGAATTGAACTAAAAATGACTACGGAACCAAACCTTGATAAGGACCATGGGAAATTAAATTAGAGTTAGCAGCCGAGAAATCAAATTCCAAGGAAAATTTGTAATAAAAATTGACCTTACTGTAGTAGACCGCTCTGCCTAGTTTTAGGAATTGTACCTCTACCCCTTGTGGCTAAGGGTGAGAGAGACGACCTCTGGAATGGGAGCTGCAGGAGACAAAGCCTGTCTCTGGTAGCAAACGCTGCCTCAGTTCCTCTCCCTGCCCCCAGAGCTTGGTCGGAAGTCAATGATGGGTAAGATCCTTCACAGCGGGGGGCAACCTAAGCCAGACTCGATCACCTGGGAGGCCTTCAGGAAGGACTCAGGGGCTTTAATAAGGAGCAATGGAGCAATGGGCTCTCGCCACCCCCCCTCCACTCCCAGGCTTTGACAAAGCCGGAGTCTCCACATCTCCTGGGAGAAGCGCTTCCTGGCTCTTAATCCCTTTAAGCCTGAATTCCTGATGGGGAGAGGTGCAGCTCCTTGCCTTGCTAAAGTGTGTCCTGGGGAAAAGTCTGGCATCACAAAGACTTGCTGATAAACCTGTGAAATCTACTCTGCTAAGAGTGCTTTCATTCATATGATAAGGGTCCGAGAGGAAATGAGTATGTCTCCCAAAGTTTCTGCAATTCTCTTCCTGAGAGACTCAGACTCTGAAGCCCTCAGATTTCTTTGAAATGTTATCTACTTTTTAATCCTTGCCACCCTGTATTCCTGTGTATTACAACTCTATAAAAGCCCCTGGAGGAAGGCACTCGGGGCCTTTGTCTCCCCTGAGAAACTGGCCACAGCCCACTCCTTCCACCCCAAAGCAGATCCAGCATCTCTTGGCCATATTCATGCACGGGTGTCCGTGGCACCAGGGGGGACTCGGAGAAGTCGCCCCCACACCTTACGTTAATTTTAACGTAGTAGGCTCGCTGCCAGCAGAACAGCCTGGCACCGAGGAACAGACAGGAGTCACACAGTAACTGTGCTAATCACTCATCTTTTATCAAATGCAGGTTCACTCAGAGCAGAACATCAACACACAGTAAAATCCTCACACTCTGACAACCTAAGAGAAATATAACACACACAAACACATACAGCAATACGTGGGGGACAGTGACCCTGAGCCCCAGAGTCTCGGTCTGCAAGTCCAGTAGACAGCACAGAAGTCAAGGGAGTCATCAGCATCTTGCATGGAAGAATCTCTGGAGCCAGGCGGGCAGCAGGGCAGGTAAAGTCCTCTGTCCAGCAGGCAAGAGCCTCGGTGGCTGATGCCAAGGGAAGTTGGAGTGGCGTGGGGCAGCCCTCTGGGGTGTGGAGCTTGGCTGTCTCCACAGTGGTCTGGAGCTGCCTCAGTTGTACCTGGAGAGCAGTGGACTCCACCCTTCTGGGTCTTTCCGATGAATGTCCTGGCGTTCCTGCTGCCAAGTGGGCAAGATTGCCCTCAGGACCCTGCCTGTGGGGGGTCCCACTCTGCAGACACAGCTGTTCTGACCACGTGGGCAGATATCCTGGGTGTGTCCCCTTGTCAGACGTGTGTGCTCTGACTTAGGCAGTTTCCCTCCTGAACTAAAGTGTCATGGCTGACTGGTGGCCCTGTTGGTTGGCATGAGTGACTCCGCTTTGTTTTATATTCTTTAAGCTGTCTTAACCAGACCAATGCCATCTTATTGATCCTGCTCTCCACAAGAAGGGAGAAAGTGAGGGAGAGAAACACTGATCATTTGCCTCCCACTGGCCCCCAACCATGGACCTGGCCGGCAACCCAAATCTGTGTCCTGACTGGCAATCAAACCGGCGACGCTTCACCTTAGCACGATGCCCCACCCACTGAGCCATGCCTGTCAGAGAGGGATCCAACTTTGAGAATATAACTTTCAACCATCTTTTATCCGATCTTAATGAAAAGCCTAATTGAAAAAATTTATGTCGGAGGGAAGCTTCCTGAATGCCACACAGTACACTCTCATTTAGCTAATAAATGTTGCCCTTGTATCAAGCCAGGCAGTCGGTGCTCTAGTTCTTTGGAGGCTTGAGTTTGACAGACGCCTGTTGGTATTGTGCCAGCGTCTTATAAAGGGACAGTGAGTGGGCTGTTGACTCTGTTCTAGGCTGTCAAATGCTTCGTTACATGGAATCTTTTCTTGTGAGGCCTGTGGAGAAAACTTACTCCATCATTCGACCATTGTTTTTATTTGATGGTCTCTCTACTCTTACACTTTTTTTGTTTCTCTCTTAAACTACTGGCAACTTTGAGCCAAATGTGGAGCCCAACTGTAACGACTACACTGGACAATGGGGTGATATTTCTGCATAGTACTCACTACTTGGTTTATTACTTTTCTTGCTTGTTCTTTCTTATTTCATCCAAACTCTTTCAGCTTAAAAAAGAATCCTCATTGATTTTGTTGTTTTTATAAGCCACATCAAATCCTTCTGGGAATGAGGTGGGGTATAAATATATTTTTCTAAAGTTCTAGTTTATAAATTACAGATGGTTTGGGGATGATTAATGGGATTTGAAGCCTCACTTCACAGTGGTTTTTTAAAAAGACATAATGGCCAGCAAGCCATCTTTCTTTCTTTTTTCTTTTCTTTTCTTTTCTTTTCTTTTCTTTTCTCTTTCTCTTCTTTTCTTTTCTTTCTTTCCTTCCTTCCTTCTTTTTTTATTTACCGTATTTCTTAGACTGTAAGACACATTGCCCCTACTCCTGCAGCCACTGGCTTCCTGCAGTGGCAACCCTGCTCTGCCTCCTGTGACCCCGCTCCACCACTACCCCTGCCCTAACCCCAGTGAGCCAGGTTAGCTACATTCAGACTATAAGACACACCCTCCTTTTTTCCCAAATTGGGGGGTAGTGTGTCTTATACTCTGAAAAATACGGTATTTATTTAGAGAGGGGAAGGGAAGGAGAAAGAGAAAGTGTGGTTGCCTCTTGCACACCCTCTACCAGGGACCTCACCTGCAACCCAGACATGTGCCCTGACTAGGAATCAAACTGGCGACCATTCGATTCACAGGACGGCACTCAATCCACTGAGCCACACTAGCTAAAGCTGATTTGATTTTTTAAAACTGATTTAGGAAGAGAAATTTGTAATTTTCGCTAGAAACACAGCCACAGCACGAATAGTACAATACCAAAATATAAATATAAAACAAGCTTGAGGATGTCTTCTATTCCTATACATTGAATCCATTAAAAACAATAAGGGAGAATAAGAGATCATTGCAGAACTTTTCTGCTTCAATTAAATTGCTACTTGATTCATGTAAGAAGTTCCTGATTTCTCTTAGGCACGCAGCCTACGTGCCAGTACTTATTTTCGGTTGGATTAGTAAGGATGCTTGACAGTTCAGATGCTTGTCAGGCATCGTCATTCTCACTTGTCCTATTCTTAATGTTTTGGTTATTTTTGTTACAATGATTTCCACTAGGATTTTCATTAGGATCAGTTATTAGTCTCAGGGGAATAAGATTAAGGAAGGATCTATTTATGTGGTGGTTGGCCAGAGCAGTTATGTCTTCTCTCTGCCATCCAATTTGGCTGTCCTCTTTCGTGACAGATGCTCACTGTTCCGACCCTGTCTGGTTGCACCTCTGCAGCGAAGTCCCGTCCGGAATCCTGGTGGAGGAGGAGGGTAATGGCAGGAAAACCCTTTCTGGAATGGGGTTTTACCCCTGCACCATCATACGGGGATTCTTGACAGTGTAGGAAAGTAACCTAACTACAGTTGGAAATTAACTTTCTAAGATGAAAAAGAATATTTATTTGAGAAGAGATACAGAAGAATAAGTTTAGAAAAGTGTATGGTACACAGTCACTCATCTCAAGACGACTCTGAAACTTTGCCAAAAAATGACAAAGGAAAAAGGAAAAGAGAAGTTAGCAAGAAAAATGCCCGTCTCCAGACGACTCATGTTCTCGGTGGTGGCGTGGGAAGACCGTGGGACCCTCGGCGGGGCCTTTTGGACTGAGAACTGTAAGGTAATGCCACTCGTTCCCAGAAGCTTGATGTCTGATTCCTCACACAGCCCAGATGAGAGCGGTCAGACTGACTGGTAGTACAACTGACAGGTAATAACCAGACAGAGAAGGGCCACGCCCACTTCAGGGAGACTTGAAGAACCAGAGAAGCATAGTCGGGGCGCTTCAGTGTGGCCGTCGCCTGTATCCATGAATTGCAGGTAAGGCGATGGTTGGCTATGAGTAAAATAACGGCTTTTGCATCTTTTTAGTTGGTCATTGAACATGACCACCTATATTTGAATTCAAATATATTTAAACTCAATTAAAAATAAATTTTTGACTTCTGGACAAGATAGCAGCATAGGCAGACACGGTTCACACCTTTGCACAGACACATCAAAAGTACAACTAAAATACAAAACACCTGTCAGAACCGTCACTCAGAACGTCAGTCAGAGCTGTCGGAAATCCAGCTGAATGGAAGTCTGACAACTACGGAATGAAAGACACTACATCCATCCAAATGGGTGGGAGGGGCGCAGATGCGGAGTGGCCTAGTCCCACATCCACGTGTGGTGGATAAAAGTTTGGGAGGAATATCTTAGGAGTGAGGAGTCCCCGGCCCCCCAGCCCAGGGTTCCAGTGCCAGGAAGAGAAGTTCCCACAACTTCTGGCTGCATAAACCAGCGGGAATTGAGTCAGTGAAAGAAG